TCCAGTTTCTCTAGTCTCTCCTCGTAGGGCTTGGTCTGTAGGCCCTTAACCATACGAGTGGCCCTTCTCTGGACCCTCTCCAGGTTATCCACATCTCTCTTGAAGTGTGGCGCCCAAAACTGAACGCAGTATTCCAACTGCGGTCTGACCAGTGCCCGATAGAGGGGAAGTATCACCTCCTTGGATCTGTTCGTCATGCATCTGCTGATGCACGATAAAGTGCCATTAGCTTTTCTGATGGCTTCGTCACACTGCCGACTCATGTTCATCTTGGAGTCCACTAGGACTCCGAGATCCCTTTCCGCTTCCGTGCCACCCAGCAGGTCATTTCCTAGGCAGTAGGTATGCTGGATATTTTTCCTCCCTAGGTGCAGCACTTTGCATTTCTCCTTGTTGAATTGCATTCTGTTGTTTTCCACCCTTATGTCCAACCTGTCCAGGTCTGCTTGTAGTTGTTCCCTCCCCTCCGGTGTGTCCACTTCTCCCCACAGTTTTGTGTCATCCGCAAACTTGGACAGAGTACACTTCACTCCCTTGTCCAGGTCGCTGATGAAGACACTGAAGAGTATCGGTCCAAGGACCGAGCCCTGCGGGACCCCACTGCCCACACCCTTCCAGGTCGATACCGACCCATCCACTACGACTCTCTGGGTGCGACCCTCTAGCCAGTTCGCCTCAGCTGGTGAGCACAGCAAATGTCCAGAGAAAATGAGTGATCATGGATAACGTATCCAGAAAAGATTGGTGAATAGGATTTAAAGAAAACTTGGGAAGGAATGAGGGGGCTGAGTGTCTGATCAACATTGGGAGCCAGCTTTGACTTTCTTGGTCTTAAGGTAGATAAGGTTCTTTGGGTAGATGTGATATAACTTTTATTAGACCAACTAAATAGTTGGAAAAAATGTTCTTTGCAAGCTTTCGGGCACAAACACCCTTCTTCAGGCAGCCCTTCTTGGTCTTATGGTCACTTTTTGAAACCTGGTTGGCAGAGGCATCAGGAAGAGGTTGTCACTATCTGATGGCTGTGTCAGGACCTGTGTATTATGGGTGCTTTTAGTTGCACCTAAGCACCCAGGGGGTGAGATACTCACATTGCTAGAAACAGGTACTGTATCTACAATTAATGAACTCCACTTTTTGGCAGCTGCAAAATGACTGTCTCAAACAGCGCAACTGCCCCTATCACTCTGTGCATTTATTTTAAAATACATATATGACCTCAGATTTTTTTTTCACTGTACAAGGCAACCTGCTCTAAGCTCTGAGTTTCTATCTCTCCACATCACTGTGACTTTCTAGTGGACTCAACCTTCAGGAACTGAGCTGAACTTTAAATGTAACTTTAAATATCACTGACTCTGTTCTAAACGGTCAGTGGTTTGGGTCACGTCTCTTTTTCTTCCTCCACCATGTTTTAAAATGGAAACTATTTTTAGGAGTAGTTAGTGTGTGTTTGTATATCTACACTTACACTTGTTAACCAAGGTGTTGATTGATTTAGCATCTAAAAACAGTGCAAATCATATGTAAACTTCCTCTTTAAAAATTTAACCAGCAGGGCTGACAGTTCTGTGCCTGGCTGCTGCTTTGATCACGACTCTCTCTCAGTCATTCTGAGAACTGAGCCCTGTTAATTGGACTGCATGGCACCTGCACTAAATATTCTGACACACCTCTGCTTTATTGGGCTATAAATCTTCCCTGGGCTCTGTTGTCTTTGAATTGATCTTACACACTAGAAGGAACAAAAGCAGTATGAATCTTCACAGCTGGGGCTCTCCTTCCTTTTTACATATTTGGCAAGATTCTGGCTTCTTATCACGTCTCAAGAACTTGTGACACGTTCTCCATTGTCACTTTTATATTGATTTAAGCAATATCTGCCCTCACTGTGCTTACAAAGAATGCATTTGAGTACATGAAGTGACTATCATAATGAATTCTGCATCGCGCGTGTATGTGTTGGAGCTGTTCAGCTATGTGTCATAAGGTCTATACTGTCTGCAATTAAGGAGACAACTCTTTAGCTCTAACGGTTTTAGTTTGTACTCTTAGAACAAGATGCTCTTTGTGCCGTGCCTGACTTCCATTGCAAAGTTGTAGCAGGCCTAGGTTGCAACATAACTTGAACTGTGAAATCTTAGATGGCTGCTTATTAGTTACAGTGCCAGACAGATGTGGGATTTTAGCACGAAGTGAAGCAATCAACTTTATCCTGCTGCTACAGTGCACAGACACTGCTCCAGATCCTGGTCAAGGGAATAGTGGTGGCAAACGTATGCACTAGAGCTGGCGTTGTTCCTCAAGCCAGCACAGCCAGAGCTATTCCCTGCACAGGAAGACTCCTCTGACTTTTCAGATTTGCATTGCAAACTCTGGCCCTGTATTCACCATTACAGAGCTCAATTTCCAGGAGATGTGGTGGGAGGCAGCTCTGAGGAAAGTTGGTGAAGTTCATCTGCTTCAATTGAGTTTCATTCTAGTTCGCTGGTGGGAAGGGAGTGGGGCTGGTGACTGCAGCTGTTCCTGTCACTGCTGCTGGGGTTAGAGCCAATCTGGGTGACATTATGGTTGGGGGTGGGGAGTTGGGGGAGCCTTTTATTTTCTACACTGTTCATGTTGGTGGAAGTTTATGGACAGGACATTTATCTGAGTTGGCCTGGGTGCATTTATCTGTTTGGGTGCACCCTTCAGGTGACACCTGGTCAGACTGAAGCCAGTGGGTATTTTGTTGCTCGTTTAACGGAGCTGGGGTTTCATGTTTTGTGTGCAAGTAGAGAAGTTTGTGTGATATTCCAGGACTGTGTTTGATAACACAATCCCTCCTGACTCAAGATATGTCTGGACAATTTCCGTGACACGTGAGGTGCGTCCTGC